ATTTATCTTTTTCATTTTGTTTTGAACAATTTGACACATTGGTAGCATAAAGTCTGGTTAAACAGAAAATTTAAAAACATGATCCAGTTATAAATGATTCAAGTTTGGCTGTGATGGAAAAAAATTTGAAAAAGATCTCCAGGTCTATCATCCGCTGGAAGTCATATCTAAACAAACGTCTTGTGAGTCGCCGTCTAAGGCCCCCTGGTTTTCAAATATGTGGGTCAGACGTCTGAGATATCAGACTACGGCAGACTAGAGTTGTTTATTTTCCTCCAGTGAACTCTGAGGTGAAACAAGGTGCTGCAGCTAAAGATAGAGTGTGTGAAAATCTTTCAAGGGGGCCCCAAGTTATTAATAGGAACGTCCGAGGGACACAGTGGACATAACATCACTGGTATTCCTAACACAACACAGCTGTCCTTGTGTTTAAATGTTAGCAACAACCTGTTACTGTACTTGAGTTCTTTTGAAGCCGTTTTCAACTTAAGCTGTACCGATAAGCAGCTGCTCAATAATTCCTACTTTCTGAATTTGACTCCTCCAGTGATCCTCTAATTGCACTGAAACACCAAGCAGCACTCAGCTATCACCTAACGAGTATTTTAACATTTAAACCAGCTTAACAACAGTCACCAAAATAACCAAAGGACACGGTGATCTGCCCGCCCCCCCCCCCCCCCCCCGAAAGCCAACGCAGCTCAGTTTCAACAGCCCACAGCATCAAAAGCGCATAGCTGCACAGCCCACTGGAGTTTATGTAATTACAGTTGTTTTTTAGCTGTATCTGCAAGCTCCCGCTGAGAAGAGGATTACATAACCTCAAGCAGACAGGCATGCTTTACAATCTGCAGGGCAAATAACAAGTACTGTCAGTTATCTTTGATATATACATATTTTTTAACACCAGCTTGGAAAGCAGCTGTAGGGTAGTAAAATCCTATTGCATGACTTTACAGTTCTACTACCCTAATCAAGCACAGGGTCAGTGATCTTCGTATCATTTAGCAGCCTTGTTCCATGACGTCACTATAGGCAAATGGTCCGGCGCAACAGAAACACAGGACAACACAGAGATGGCGTCCTTTAGATGCCCTATGCTCTGAACTTAAAAGTGAAAACATGCTCAGCTTAAGATCTGTCTGAAAAGGGGCCATAGCTTTGTCGCTGCAGGTTTTATTTTTTTAGGCTTCAGCCTCATGTTTTCTTTTTGATGCACAAGTGTTTTCAAGTTTATTATTATTTTCTTCTAGTTGCAAAACTAGTTCTTTGGAACAGAATATATGGAGCCCCAGAATAGATACACTGAGTAAAATCTGATATGGTGCACCAATGGATTAAATGTTAAGGAAAGAGTGCTGCTGTAAATCATCCCCCAAACCTAAATTAAATACCCAGACTGTTAAAATAAAATAAAAAAATCAATAAAAAGGCATCTTAGAGGGAGCCTGTGTTATAGATATCTTCAACCTGTCCAAACCTGGACTAATATATTCTAGACTTGTCTGGACATGTTGAAGATGGTAGAAATATATGATGTATTTTAAAATTGGTACTTAAACATTAACATAATACTTTATATACATGTTTTTTTTCCCCTTTCAGATACTATTTCTGCACAAATATGAGTTTTTATGTCATTGAGCCGAAGGTCAGAGTTAATTAATCTAAAGCAATTAAAAAGGGGAAATGCTGATTTGCTCAGCTGCATCGCTTCATTTCTTAATATGAGTGACTTTATACGATAAAAACACAGACAATTATTATAGTATTGTTTAAAAAGGGTTTACCTGCCAAGGATGCGTGACTCCCCGGTTTCAACACACAGCCGGGAGCTGAGGGCTTCAAAGCTGGAGTTTTCCAACAGCTTCATGGTCGTCTAAGAGGGAAAGAAATAATAATAATTATAATAATAATAATTATAAAAAAGGGGAGAAATCATAACTCTTTAAGTACGGAAGAGGATTAGGGCCATTGAAAAAAAAAACTACTGATTTTTTTATTTTATTTCAATTCAATATGGGGGGAAAACGTAAGAATTTCTGAGATTAAAGTCAGAATTTCTGAGATTTAAGTCAGAATTTCTGAGATTAGAATTCTGAGATTAAAGTCAGAATTCGGATTTTTTTTTTTCCCATATTAAACTGAAATAAAATTTAAAAAGCAGTTACGTTTTTTTTTTTGTGGCCCTAATCCTCTTCCGTATTTAAGCGCCTCTAGCACACTTAATAGAATAAACTGCGTAACAGCAGCGCCCCTCTTGGATCAACTACAGATATTATTTCCTCTAACAAAAAACACTGCCCCTCCCCCACATATTTATATTCTTCCTGGTTTAACCTTTCGAGTTTATTTTACTTACCGACCAGTAATCCTCCTTGCGGGCAGGTAGAAGCGGGTTAATCCCAGAACAGCGAACCGTTAGAAAGCGGTCTCTTTGATCAAATCGGTTACCAAGGATTAATGATCCGCGCTTTGTTTTTTCCTCCAGCTACCGATAGCTGCTAGCTCGAATATTTACGCCTCACAGTGAAACTAACACCGTAAACTTGAGCTCATGTATCTTACAGAAGCACTCGGTCGAGCGGGAGATGTTCTGAGGCCCTTTAAGTTTATAGAGAAGCTGCTTTTCCCGATTAGATGCGACGAGATTAAATCCAGAGACTGTTGGCGTCCGTCGGAGTCTATCTGCAGCGGCATCCCTTTCGACCTGATTTAACAAAACGACCTGTATCGAGGGGGGATCAAGTCGCTCTTTTCTCAGCGACTCGATCGGAAAAGCAGCCAAAAGCGACTTAGTTTGTTGAGATTTAATTAAACGGAGTATATTTCCTGCTAGTTATTGATAACCTCCTAAAACCGATCTGCTTTCATCAAAACAACAAGACCTTCTGTGTCCGTCGACAAGCCCCTTTAGTATGTATACATCAAATAAGACCCGCCTAAGTTTTCCATGTCGCATTGTGATTGGCTAGTTAAGCCTGTCACTATACAGCGTAAAAAATGATTGGTTAAGACAGTTCGAATATTGGGTTAATGTTTATTGTCAAAAAAGGAAATACTTCTATAGCTTGTGTTTTTTGTCACTTCTCTATTAGATTTTTTTTTTTATTATTTTTAGTAAGCAAACCTTTCCAAATGGGTTAAAAACCACAGAACGTTAAGTAAGCTGTGTTTATCATCACCTTTGACAGATCCGCTTCTTGTAATAACAACTACAAATCCTTTTCGACATGACTATACAGGTCTAAAAAGCTCAATTGTTGCATAGCTTAGTCACTTGTTCAACGCCTATGAACATACAGTTTGGTGTCTTAAATAAATAATTGGTAAATAATAATTTGGTTTAGGGATTGACCTTGTCCCATTATAACACATAGGCTTAGACTAACTTTATTGTATACAAAAAGAAATTAGGTTGCTTACAGCTTCCAACAGTAAAATGAACATTAACATTTAAACTGCAGCAGTGATCGTCATGTAAACAGTATAGGAGAAAAGGAAAATCTGTTTTAAAAAATCAAATAAAATAACTAACGCTGCAAAAAAGCATGAATATGGAAGGTTCAGTGCAGTGCAAAATAAATATGGTGCAAAAGGCTGTAGAACATTTTCTGTCTTATTTAAAAGGATTATAAAAGTTCCTGCCACGTACGTGGTGCAAAATTATGTTGCAAGGGTGAGTCCAGTTTAGAGTTTAACAGTGGAAAAGTCTTATGGCAGCAGGGGAAAAGCTGTTGCAGAAACTGCTGGATCTGCGCCATATTGATATAAAACCATATATATAATGATCTTAACCACTCTATTGTTGGTTTGACTGTTTGTTTGCTGTCATGTCCAGCTTTTAGGTGTACAATCATCGCAGTTACAAATCTTTTGCACAAATGAAGATATTGGGCCGGCTGTTTTCATATAAAAGCTATTCATTTATTATCTTCCTCATATTCTTTTGCTGTGGCAGATCTGTGTTTTGTGTTTGCATCGCCCTTTCTGATCCTCCCATTTCCTCCACAATATCAAGCGTTTAATTATTGCTGTTCTTTCACCTTTTCCTTTTAGCAAAGCAGGTACTGCGTGTGGCTTGTTGGCTTTCTAAATGATCAAATCTTTACAAACCACTAATCTATGTGGCCTAAACCCTTAAACCTAAAGCACACCAATAGGTTTTGCAACCAATTCAGTGGTTTGATAAATGATTAAATGTTTGTGGATAATCTCTCTTCATATCCAGAAATAAACATCAAGTTCCAGTTTCTTGCTAATTTTTGGATCAATATAGATTTTCAGGTTACCAGATTACTATTGAGCTAATTTTGTTCCATAAAGTTTGTTCAAAAGTAAATTATTGAAAATTTAGAAAAAAAATAAAAGATGTGGAACTGGAAAGAAAAAAGCTCAGAACTAGTTCTCAGATGTTTTTTTTTTTTTTCGCCGATTTTATCTTTTCGCCATCAGACTTTTTACAAATGCAAAACTAAACGTATTTTATAGTTGCATTTTTTTCAGTTGCAATTTTTTGGGGTTTAAAATAATTTTTGTTTTATTCTCTCTTTTAAACAAACGTAACAACCCAAAGTAGCTCCATAGATTGTTGACTCAGCTTCTCTTCCAACTTCTGAGCCCTTTATATTAAAGCTTCTTCTTAGGCAGTAAGCATTTTGACCGCATCATCAATTTTATGGATATTTTTAAACTTGAATCCTGTTTATAGGGCAATGCGTATAATTGCACACCCAACTTTTCCATCTATATATAAATAAGGTAAAACAATGTATTCAGATTTTTTCTACTTTGTTCTGATGTATCACAAAAAAACAAAAAACTGAAATAAACAAAAATTTGATAACTGAATAGTTGTCACAATGTCATAAATTTAGCAGGTTTTCCACTGGAGATAAATTTAATATCTTAAAGTCCAATCAAACATTTTTTATTTATTATATATAAAGTTGCTGCATCTCAAACTAATTTTCTCCTCGTATCATTAGCATAAAACCAAATTCCACAAAAATATTTTTATTCACATAAATAAAAACCTGCACAACATCTGAATATCATTGATATTGCCATGTCATGACTGAATAATATAATGAGAAACATCCTCCAGTCCCGTGGAGTCATTGTCCAGGTATTCCAGAATCACATTGCCACCATTGTACAGTGGAGCTTCAGGGTTAGCCAGCAGAGACTGCAGGGAGTCGCCCATCTGCAGAGCCTGGCCTGACTCGGGGTGACACAGACGCAGCTTCTGCAAATGCAGAAAGAAACATTAAACACATCAAGCTCTCTGTATTAATGGTATTGACTTTATACATTGGAATATTCTGCATGTTTCAGTTGAGCTCTTACATTTAAGACCCAGTGTTTTTGGAAAAACTAAAAGCTATTGCAATTTTTTCTTTCATTTTATAATCCAGATCATAATCTTCAACATATGTGGAACCAACTGTGTGGTATTCAACCAACCTGTTCAGATCGGCAGCTTTTCCCTTTTATCTAAGATGTTTCTGGGATTCTACGACCAATGGGTTTTATCCGTTTTTCAGACATACAAAATAAAGGATGATTCCTAGATATGTACTCCAAGCTTCCATATATCATTTGCGTTCTTATCATTTTTTTGTTTTCAAAAAAACTTTAATATGTTTTTAATGTTATCAATATTATCTCTTTTTTGAAACACAACAAAAAAAAATGAGCATGCACAGAGATGTAATCTCATCTACCCTTCTCTGTTTACCTTGGCTGTCAGAACATTGTTGTTGTTCTTGAGGCCAGCTAAGGAGGCTGCATAGTCCACCATTTTACCCACGGTCCATTTTGAAGAGAAAAACATGGGTCGGCTCCTGTCCTTGGATTCTTTTGGAAGATAAACCTGCAAATAGGTTCTTTCTGTCTGAAATATATGACAAAATAAATAAACACCAGGGAATGATAAACCAATGTTCTACAGAAAGATTCTAGTTTTTTTTTTTTTAACTCTACTTTTTAGTTAAAAAAAGAAAGGAGGGAAGAAAGAAAAGCACCAAATTAAAGTTATCCTAATGAAAAGTGAAATTGATTTTACCTGTGGCAGTCCCTTGTCTCCAGCAGCATGCAGCTTTAGTTTCATCAGAGCTACCTTTGCAGCAGTGGCAGCATTCTTTGCCCCTCTGCGCCCTTTGCTTTTGGATCCATCCTTCGACTCTAAAAAGACAAAGGCAATAACTAAAAACTCTGATGCCTGAAGCCAATTTGGGTTTAAATTATGGGATCTATAGTGAATTTCTTTTTCTTTTCCATTGAGATCGCCTGATTTTTTTTTAATTTTTTTTTTTTTTTACAATTTTGTGAGATTACAAATGCAAACTTCCGTGAATTCTACTGCGGTTTCTGTGTTAAGTAATACTACACTACATTATTGTGGTTTAATATATTTTCAAAACACAAATCCAAAAAGTGTCTTCCTCCTTATTTACTCTGATATCCACTAATAATATCTGGTTAAACTAGCACCTAATTAGTAAATAGAGATCATCCATCCAATAAGTTCCTGCCTCTCCTTGCAGCTCCAGATTAATAGTAGGGAGGAGGTTTCACTTGGTGATGGGATGGGTTAAATATGTGTAATTTATTCTCAAGATAAATACAGCTGTTGGCCATTTAAATAACTTGAAGGCCAAACCAGGACGTTGGGAATCAGAGAAGCAGATCAAGTCGGTGGATATTTTGTAAGGATGATTATAAGCCACACACTCCACAAGTCCTGTCAGAAGAAAGATAAAAATAAAGCTCCAATGAGTCCAGTTTGCAGTTTGCCACAAACCCTATAGGGGATACAGACAAACATACCCTACATGTCTTATTCATAACATGATCTATTCAAATGCAGAACTGTTAACCCAGCATCACCTTTCCCATGATGATGGCAGCAACGGTTCGGGGGTTGCATTTTTTTCCAGCTTTGAAAGATAAATGTAGCTAAATCCAATTAATAAAACCTGTGAGCAGTTGCAAAAAACTGGAAACATACAGTAAGAATACCACTTAAATGGTCTAGATAAAAGTATATTAAATGTAAGATCATCCAAGTTGTGAACAATAACATGTTTAGGTGGACATTAAAAGACATACAGTTATCTGCAGTGACAGGTTGGTTCATAGAAAAACAAAAAACTAAATAAATAAAAAAAGAAAAAAAAACACTGATCCCATCTCTTTTAAACCTGTCTTATATACAAATCTAAAAAAAATACACAGCAGCTGATTGTAATGAATAAAGTTTAATTTGTGTGGGATACTATAGGAAAATTAACTTTTTACTTCTTTATCCAAAAAGAAAATTATGGAGGACGAGCTCTACCATATTTAAAAGTAAATACAGAAATAAATAAAGGCTCAATAAATAAATAAGCATACAATTAATTCCCCCCAAAATACAATAAATAAACGTAGGTAAAAATTAAATGATACAGTGAAACATAAATGTATACACCTCTTTTAATTAGCATCTTTATTTATTTGCTGTTGTAATAATTACCTTATTTATTTATTGTCTGTTAAAATCTTAAATTGTATTTATTAATTAATAATTTTTTTAAGTATTTATTTATATGCATGTTATATTTTGTCTGTTTTATTCTTCCTTTGTATTTTTTTTACCCTATTTATTTCTTCAATGTTATTTATTTCTGCCTGTCATTTTTACATTTCTGTATTCATTTCTGCCTCATTATGCAAATGAGGAAGGGCTACGTCATAAAGGGTCAATTTATGCCCATTGGTTGGTTAGCATTTTACTGCACTGCCTTCACTTTTGGTTTGTTTTGTTTTTCTGACCTAAAATCTTTTGCACCAACTCTTTTGTGGCTGCCATCCGAGGCTTCTGGACCTCCAACTTCTCACACTGGTGATCATCTTGATGACGGTGGCTGCAAGAAATTCAAAAGTAGCCGTTTAATAGTTAAACTCACACAGGTTATGTTCTTGCAAGTACATGTAAATCCCTAAAACGTAGGAAATTGCTGTAAAATTAGCCTTATATATATATATATTATAACCCTAACTTTACAACATTACCTCACTTTCCTGTTAAAAATTGTAAAATGGCTCCCATTCAGATAGACAAACAGAAACACACACAGACCCTCTACTTTGATCTGTTTGAAAGAAGAAAAAAACCTACACCAAACAGAAGTGCTTTTCACAGTGTGGGCATAAAACTGGCAGCAGCTCTTTTCCCTTGCAGTCTTCAAAGGAGCAGGGATAACTGGTGCTGCCTCCAGTCCACTTAGATTCCCTTGTTACCGTTTCCTGTCGCAGAGTAAAAATACATCATGAATAAAAAAAGGGTACTGTGACAGTTTTTAATAGATTTATCTATCACATTAAATCTGAAAAGTCCTAATCTTAGCAAATAAGGCAACACATGACCCGTATCAATAATATAAAGACATCAAAGAAGCACTTATCTGATCCAAAATACCCTGACAGTAAAAAAAAGAACATGACCTACCTCTGCGCAGGAGTGGGCCTCTCTGCTTCTGTGCTCAAGGCTGTAAAGGACAGCAGAAAACAAAAGAACAAGATGAAGAACTACAACAACAGAGCAATCTGTTCTGCTCTGTTACGGTCCCTTTTATACAATAACAACTTTAATTTTAAACCTGAACAAATATTCTTCCTTTTAAAAAAACAGATTTTGTACACAGCTGCTCACTAAACCCAACAATGTTTGACTCGACAGAAAAAAAAATAAAAACAAAACAATTACTGTAAAAGAAAATATCTAGATCTTTGTTTGACATATAAAATAATAAAGCAAAGCAAGCAAAACAGTAGAGAAAAAGAAAGAGCCATATTTAGCCATCTATTGCAACTTTTTTACTATCTATCGTCTTATTCATAAGTTTATATTGTGTTATCCAGCAGTAAAATTCAAGGAATGGGTTATAATTAGAGATGTGCCAGCCAACTCAGAGACAGATGCAGTCAGACTCACAGGTGAGATAGACTTAAAATGAAATATGAGAAACCTACAAGAAATAATCACAATAATAGAGTCAAAATCAGTGTAAAGATTATTTTTTGTTTTTTCTGCTTGTGAAGGAGGATAATCATTGATGTCAAATTAACAGTTGTTTGCAAATAATAATGTGCACAGCATTGTGTTAATATTTGTTTTTCATATGTTCATGCATGAATGGATAGAAAGAACTGAGATTGTGTAGACATGCATGATATCTCGTTGTTGGCATCAGTATCGGCTGTTAGCATAGAGACAAACAGAATATAACAACCTTCACGCACACACTCTAAACTAAGAAGAAGAATTTAGAGAAGCCAATTCGCCTAATAGTCATTTTTTTGGACTGTGGAGGAAGCAGGAGTACCCAGAGAGAACCCACGCATGCACAGGGAGAACATGCAAATTCCATGCAGAAAGACCCCGGAAATATAACCTGGAACCTTCTTGCTGCAAGGCAGCAGTGCTATCCACTAACCCCACTGTTTTAAATGCAAAATGTTTACCCTAATCCTGAGCCTAACATCACTAAAAAGCAATTACATGTCAGAAAATATGACTATCAATGCAGGGTTACAATATACGTTTACTTATATTTAAATAGTTTAAACTTACCAGTAAACACCATTACAGGAGTCACAAACAAATGGAAGAAAATCTGTAACATGAATGTAGAAAATTTAAAGGGAATTAGTTATTATCCGGCCTCTGCCTGTCGTATATAATATGCCAGTAAAACTAAACCTGATTAGAAATGGATTTCCAAACAAAGGGGAAAACTAAGCTTGAGTCCTGACAAAATTATTCTATTATTCTTAATTGAGCCGAACGGGTTTGGAAGTGCTAACCTATCAGCTAGCAACCTATGCTAAGGAAGACAACAACTGCTAGCTAACAGGCTAATTATGCTAGGAAGACAATCTGCTAAATTTCAAAATCTCGACAGGAACATGCGTCACTTTAAACTTTTTTTTTCTTTTACAGCTCCAAATAGAATCTCAACAAACCTTTGAGATTGCAGGTATCGACCTGACAATGTTTTCCAATGTCTAATTCAGCCATTAGCCAATACTGTGGCTACCTTGTCTTATTTAAATCAATAATCAATAAATCACAACTTGACATTATTTTAATGTATAGGTTTTGTAATACTCGTTTCTAAGATGGTCCACGCCTCCTAATCCAACCACTTATAAACTTTTAAGGTGTAGGTGTTTTTTTCCCCTGCAATTATATTACAATTACTTAGATTTTTTGTTTATTGGTTAATTGTAGATCTGGCAATATCAAAATGAATTTAATGTCGGGATATTTTAGCTGTTAAAATAAAATCAAAAATAATAAATAATGCAATTAGTTTGAATTAATGGTGTTGGAGGGTTGATCGAATAAATTTAAAAGATTTATCTAGGGTTTTAAATTTGAAATTTTGAATTCCACTGATTACGTTTCGTTTTTCTAAGAAACAGAGTTAAGGTGCCGTTGCAAAGTTGCAGTTCACTAGGCAGGTGAAGCTGAAAGTGTCTCTCATTCTTTGCTTTGAATTTGACCTCAAACCTTCAGAGAATTCTGCTTACACCGCCTGGATAGTAAAAATAAGCGGACTATTTTCTCCTACACACGGTTCACTATTGTTATTGTTTAAAAAAGCCAAATGATAATCTCGAACTTTTCAGGAAGCTCTAGTAGCATCGGTTCTTCCTCCAAGTCAACGCACGTTCGAAGGAGACGATCCGCGAGGCGATCCACACTTACGAAACGGAAATGCTGACCAAGAAACAATTTTGGGATTTGAAAATAAACTAAATGCCAGTAAGAAGCACGGACAAGAAACAAAGGATGTCTTTAGAACTTACTAGCTTTCTGTAGTTCAACATGAATCCAGACCAGGAATTGCTTCTTTTAATTATTTATCAATATCAAACTTTCTACATAAACTGTAAGACTCTTTATACCGATTATTTTGATAGTTTCCTCTCAAAGACTAATGTTTAGTTCGGTCATTAGAAACTGGACCTACTATAATTTAATTGCCTTTTTAAATTTAACTCAACTTCTCAGTTAGATCCCTGACTGTAAACTTTTGGACTTATTTATACTGCATCTATATTTTATTATATTATTTTTTACAGATGGGGAGTTGTATCGGCTGACTGTATCTGCAGATAATTAGCAGTTCCACTGTAACAGAATTCTGACCTCTGATTCTCCGACATAGTTTATTGATGTTTTTGTTAAGTGAACCGGATTCCAATTGTAAAAGAGTCTGCCTGATTAACGACTTTGAATATGACTTTGAATTCATTTTGTTGTGCTGTGGAAGTTATGGAATGATCATCACTGGATTGTTCTGAACTAGATTCCCCTTGAACTGATCTCTGTTTTTTCCGCTTTTTCTCATTTTTGATGTTGCTATCTTCCAACCTTCATTGTCACTATTTCCCTCTTCCATCCCACAAGAATCGCTTCCTGTTTCCTCACTACTCACGGCCCAAGACATTTCTCCATAAGCAGCTTCAAAACACGCGCCATGCACCAAACGACCATCCACATGCAATCTTTCCGGCCTTCCACCTCCGACGTTTCTTCTTCGTGGGAAATTTTAGTGCAGCGTTTGCTGTGACTGACCCTCTACCGCCGAGCTTCCATGCTCGTGGCATGAGCTCACTCTGTTTGGTGATTTATTAGAAACATGCTGGTGCGTTAGCGACACCTAGTGGTCAGAGTCTACTTCTTTCTATATTATATTAAATTGGTGTGAGACTAGAAAATTCAATAAAAATACCACTTATTTTTGACAAATATTCACATATATGTATCAAAGACATGCACCTTGTCTTATTTATTAAATCAAGTAAATCAGAACTTGACATTATTTTATGGTAGTAGTTTTTGTAAAACGTCCTAAAAGATGTCGCACCCGTCTAACCACCAGCTTATAAACACTTTCTAAGGGTGTATGGGGTGTTTTTTTCCCCCTGCAATTATAATAGTAACAATTAACTGCTAAGAATTATGTGTTTATTGGTTAATTGTAAGATGTGAATTATCAAAATGAATTTTAAATGTGTCGGGGGATATTTTAGCTGTCATAAAATAAAATAAAAAATAAATAAATAATGCAAATTAAAGTGTTGAATTAATGGTGGTTGGAGGGGTTGATCTGAATAAATATAAAATGATTTATTCGTGTTTAAATAATAATTTGAAATTATATGAATTCCACTTATCTACTTTCAATTATTTTCTAAAGGCAAAACAGGTTAAGGTGCCGTGTGCAAAGGTATGATGTCATCATAGGCCAGGTGAAGCTGAAAGGTGTGCTCTCTCTTTCTCTCTGCTTTGAATTGACCTCAAAGCCGTCGAGCAGGAAATTCTGCTAAACCCGCCTGTGGAGTCAAGTAAAAATAAAGACGGACCTCATTTTCTCTACCTACTAACACGGTTCACTATTTGTTTTTGTTTAAAAAAAGAGCCAAAAATGAGTAAAATCTCGAAGCTTTTCAAGGGAAGCTCTAGTAGCTCGGGTTCTTCCTCCAAGTCCAAACAGCACAGGTCGAAAGGAGGACCGAGTCCGCAGGAGGCGATCCACAGACTCCGGGAAACCGAGGAAATGCTGACCAAGAAACAAGATTATCTGGAGAAGAAAATAGAACAAGAAATAGCCACAGCTAAGAAGCACGGCACAAGAAACAAGAGGGGTATGTCCTTCTAGGAACTCTGCACCTGCTTTCCTGGTAGTTCCAACATGCTAAATCCCAGAACCAGGAGTTGAGCTTCTTTTAATTATTTTATCAATTATCAAACTTTCTACATAATAAAGACTTTTATACCAGATTATTTTGAATAGTTTCCTCTCAAAGATATAATGTTTAGTGCAGGTCATAGGAAAGCTGGACGCTGACATATAATTTAATTGCCTTTTTTAATTTAACTCAACTTCATACAGTTAGAATCCTGACTGTAAACCTTTGGAACTTATTTTATGGCATTCTATTTATTTTATTATTATTATTTTTTACAGATGGGGAGTTTATCGCTATACTGTATCTTGTACAAGAAAACATATAACTGTAACCAAAAGTTAACTTTTTCCACTTGTTTAGCTCTAGTTTAAATTTTTGAATTTAAATGTTGTCATTGAAACAGCCCTTTTGAAAATGAACAGTGAATCTTTTCACTATCTTTTGTTTCTTTTTGAGTGCAATAGCTTGTAACAAGTCTAACCTGAAGGCAGCCATTGTTTTTATAGCATCCAGCCATGGAGGGAATGGAATGTAGGCTTAGATTACTGAGAACCAGGCCTGTATAGCATTTCTTTGTATTCACAGTGCATCCACAGAGTGGAAAACATCTTTAGACCTATGAAGTGATCAGAAATTGAGAGGCGGTTTGTTGAAAGTTCTCCTTAATGTGTAGAAACCTTGCAGCTCATCCTAACTGAGGTGTTTTCTCAGCAGTATCACCTGTGAATCATTTCAGACTAAAAATAAACACAGCGATGTAAAGGGAGGATCCTCGTGTCTTTGCTTTGGACACACCCGATTTTTCTGCTACATATGATAGAACATTTCTGCCAAGGTTTATGTTGAATCATGACATTAAATATTTGGAATCATCTCCTTTCATTATTTCACTCAACACACCTGTAGAAAACTCAGGTCTCTCAAGAACCTTCTCGTTCATAGCAAGGCTGGTCTCTGAACATCAACACAGACTATATTAAAGACAAGTTAGGCTATTATTTTTGACAATCGTTTAAACTGGTCCTGATCCACCGGATACTCTATGGAAGGTCCCCTACTGTTTCTCCCATTTTTTATTTTTTATTTTTTTTTGATAGTTTCTTCTGTGATCTGCTGGAGCCCTAAAGCTTTGATTTGTGTAAAGATTTATGTGTAATGTAGGGCTTTTTCTAACAATTACTTTGCAAATCAATTACCGGTAATCTGTTGATTATTTTTTCCCTTAATAATCCTATAGCCAAAGTTTCCTTAAAGATGTTTTTTTTTTTTTTACTAAATTAAACCTTTTCAACTTAAGGAGTTTTGGATAGAGTACTGTATATTGACAGGCAAAAACTTTTTTCTGTCTATCTTAAATGCAAAATGTTTATAATTTATTTTACAATTGTGATAGAATTATTGCTCTAAGTAGGTTGCTCTGTCAGCTAAAGGCATGTTTTACAGTCTCTATTCTCCAGTTAACGATTAATCAATTACTAAATTAGTTGACGATTATTTCAATAATCGATTCATTATTTTAGCCCTAGCATGATGTGTTGCCTTTGAGTTTTTTTCCCCCTAAATTATGGTATGGGACCAATTTGAATTGTTTAATTTGGTTAATCTTAAAAAAGGGGTGTGGTTCTATCTTTTAACGGGTTTCTTTTTCCTCATATTAAATAAAATTTTAATTTAAAGGTTGTATTTAATTTTTCTGTCAGTCCACAGATCATGTGTGTAAGGGGATTTTTTTTTTTTCTCATACTGTCCTGATTGAGGGGAAGAGCAATGGTGCTTGTTGTTCATTATTATAGTGACTATAAAGAAGTACAAGCTGCAGGGAGAGTATGTCAGAAAAAGTATGCTGATTTTCAATCCATAACCATATAAAAACCTCAGCATTCCCTCACCTGGTAGTCTGTTCATGCCAAGATGAAATGCAACCTCAAGAATTATTGTGATTATTATTTTTTTTCTTTTGTCTGGAGCAGCTGCCCTGCAGGCCCTGAAGAGGAAGAAGCGCTTGGAGCAGCAGCTGACCCAGATTGATGGCACGCTGTCCACCATTGAGTTTCAGAGGGAGGCTCTAGAGAACTCGCACACCAACACAGAGGTCCTTAAGAACATGGGCTTTGCTGCTAAGGCCATGAAGCATGCCCACCAAAACATGTAAGAAACTGGCTTACCAGAGAGAAAATGTATAAAAAACACAATTTCATCCAGAGGGAAAGCCTGATTCTAAATTAAAAGGGGAACTAAAAAAAAAAAAAAAAAAAAAAAGTAATGACTATTTAAACTATCCTGCCAAAATATTATATTATAAATATAATAGTTTCCTGCTGTTCAGAAAGTCCTGAAGCATCTCTTATTCTAGAAGGATTTTAAGGTTTCATGTTTGACTTTGGCTTCTTTTTTTCTTTTTAAACAATACCCTGTTTAGTGTTAGTGTTTGTTGTTTTCAAATAGATATACATTTTAATCTGGGCCCATTTTCAGATGGTGGGATTAACATATTCTGAGTAGAGTGCAGTTTATTTCTATTGGTAGTTAAGTATTGTAATGAATTATTGAGATAGGTAGTCATAGGTATGCAATAGGCAAATGTTTATTTAATTGGTGCCAAGATGTGAGGGTTATCCAACACTCCATGCAGTTTAAATTTTATTTCTGTTCATCCTTCTTTTCCCTTCTATCCATCAGGGTCACAGTGAGGCACACTGTGCCACAGGTTTTCAGTGTATCTCAGGGCAGAGACATACAATCATTTACACACATATAAGGGCAATTTAACCTAACAGTTGGGGTGGGGGGGGGGGGGGGGGGGGGGGGGGGGTGGGTGGTGGGTGGTTGGACTGTGGGAGAAAGCTGAAGTACCTGGAGAGAACCAACGCATGCAAACTCCATGCAGGAATCCTCAAGGCTGGGAATTGAACCGTCTACTGTCATGGCAACAGTCTCACAGTGCAGCCTGGATCCAGCATGAGAGATGGAACCAAAATAACTGCTGGTGTAAATATTATCCAATTAACCAGATTACTGAAAATGACTATACCAGCCGTCAAAGTGGGAACAAATAATCTCCACCATCCTGGCATATGTTCACTACAGACAGTTCTATTCAGGGGTATCTCAAGAAATGAAAATATCATTGAAAAGTCTGTTTATTCTGCAATTTCATATAATTACTCTTCAAAAGAGAGCAACACATTTTATTTATTGCTGTTAGTTTGATGGTGAACATTTCATGAAGACCCAATGTTCCGTTTCTCATGAAAGTTTAACTTTATAAGACTAATATTATAAAGGTCTTTCAGTATAGATAGTGTTTTGTTGTGCGGTAGATTTACATCCTTCACATGGGGGGAAGCAAAAACAGCCAATAATGAAGAGGCAGACTGTTTGCCAATTGCTGGATGGAAGGCTGCTGAGGTTACATTGAAGGAAACCGTGTCAGAAAGAGAGGCACAACTGCCCTGGATAGCTTAAACAAACACAGATAAATGTACCCAAACCATAGGCTGCCATATTCATTTTGTTGAACCCAAGATATTGAAAGTGTCTTACCTGAAAATTGGATTGATTGTATTCTTTCTCCATTTACAGCATTCAGAAGATAAACTGAAAGAGTTTTGCTTCTGATTTACTTGTTTGTTTTATTTCTTTCAGGGACATCGACAAGATTGATGATTTGATGCAGGACATCACAGAGCAGCAAGACGTGGCTCGGGAAATCAGTGAGGCGATTTCAGGGCCGTTCGGCGAGCAGTTTGATGAGGTTACCCAGTTTTCTCCACTTGTATAGTTGGACATTTCTTTTTGCCTGGTCACGTATTGTTAAGCTTTTTATTTTTTATTTCCCTATTAGGATGAGCTGCTTGCAGAGCTGGAGGAGTTGGAGCAGGAGGGCCTGCAGGAAAGCATGAAGAGTATCGGAGGATTGCCGAGCGTTCCCAGCTCCAAACTGCCCTCATCACAGCCCACTCATCGTG